AAATAGTATTTTAATTTTTAAATTGATTTAAAAATTAATAATCATTTAATTAAAAAATTATATTATTTAAATGTCGATAAAATAAAATAATATAAATTGTAATAATGTGACTTTTAGTGATATGTTATAGAGTATCCCATTGGGGATGCTTTATCCCATTGGAGATGCTTTAACTACACTAGTGGAACATCTAACCAATGTTCTCTTATATTAACAATTACATAAGGGCTAATTAACCCAGATCAATTAGTTGGGGAGTGAATTAGCCTGAGGAAAAGAAGTTAAGGGGCTAATTGTCCATAATGTGATAAGTTGAGGGGCTGATTTAAAAAAGTTCGGTCATTAAATGAAAGAAAATCTCCCGGTAAACTATTCAGAGTTTCAGACACAGGCCAGCGAACATAAAAGGTCAACCTTTTATTAAAGCACTGCCTCTTGTCCTTCAGTTTCCACAAAGTCTGCTTTTTCTGCTCATTTGTGTTATTTCATCCCTTTCATTTGTACGCATGAAATCAAATCCTTTTTCTCTCATCTTTCACTACTCCCAAATCCAGCTCTCTTTGATTAATTTGTCATTCCCTTCAGTCTTCCTTAACTTCCTACTTCCATAATCTCTCAACCTAATCTGCACTGCATTATCCATTGATTGTTTGGCTTTTGTTCCTCGTCAATCCACTTGTATTCTCTGTAACTTTGTTTTATCATCTATACATTTCTCAAAACCTTTAAAAAAAAAAAAGAAAAAAGAAAAGAAAACAGAGGGTATTAGAAAGAACAGAGCAGCAGCATTCTTTGTTCATTTGTATAATTGTTGATCAATATTTCACCGCAAATCACAACATGTTTGCGCACAAGGACCAGTCCAATGTCATCAAGGTGCTGAGGAAACAAATTGCTGACTTGGAGGACGAGAAAGAGAGTGTGAAGCGCTATACTGAAGATTTTCCCAATAGCAAAACTGAAGAGCTCAAGAAATGGCCGAAGAAAACATCAGAGCTCATTGAAAAAGCACACGATTTGTTAGAAGATGTTGGGAAACGTGGGAAGTCTCTTTTCCAACTTAGAAAGAAGGCGGAGCAGATATGCAAGGATATTGCTGCACATGTTCAAGAAGCTCGTGGATTCTCCGATATCCCACTTTCCTATCGACAAGAGAAAGTGGCTGCTAATCGTTTTGAGGACTTTGAATCGAGAAGTGGGGTTTTGAAGGACATCATGGAGGCACTACGAAGTCCTGGCATCAACAAGATAGGAGTGTACGGGAAGCCTGGTATGGGGAAGACAATGATGGTTAGAGAAGTTAAAAGAAGAGCTGAGCAAGAGAGATTGTTTGATGCAGTGCTAGTGGCAACTGTGGGTAGGAATCCAGACTTACCAAGAATTCAAGATGAAATTGCACGTGTTTCTAATGAACAGACAGGGCTGATAGAAGACAAGGTCCTCGTGATTTTGGACGACTTATGGGAGCCAGGATCATCTTTGGAGTTGCTTGGAATAAATGGGAAGGAAGAAGACAAGGTTGTATCTTACAAACTTTTGCTGACCTCTAGAGATAGAGATCTTGTATCTCATACATCGGAAACACAAATTGAAATTGGCAGCTTAGCTTGGGGAGACGCATGGAGCCTATTTAAGAAGATAGCTGATGATCCAGATAAAAGTCGTGGTTTGCCGTTCTATGCAAATGAGATTACCAAGAAGTGTGAGGGCTTGCCCATTGCTGTTGCGACACTCGCAAATGCCTTGAGAAGAAGGAATCTGATTGAGTGGAAGACTACTTTACGAAAGCTACAAAGCCTGCCCTTTGATCAGCAGAATTCAAGTCAGATACCACAAAGCCTGTATTCGGCTATCGAGTTGCATTGCAGTGGTTTGAAAAGCAACGAACTCCAACAAATTTTCTTGCTTTGCAGTCTACTGGGTCGGAATGCAACCATTCAAAACTTGTTGAAATATGGTATAGGCTTGGGTTTATTCCCAGGAGTCAAATCTATAGAGGAAGCACGAGCTCAATTGCTAAATTCGGTGACTAAACTCACAGATTCTTCTTTGTTGCTGGATAGTGGTAGCAGTTTGTACTTCGATATGCACGATCTTGTTCGAGATTTTGCCACATCGACTGTTTCTAAGGAGTATGGCGTGTTGGCTTTAACAGAAGACGCACCAATCAACTGGTCACACATGGAGGCGATGGAGAGCATCAAATGGATTTATTTATCAAATGGGGACACCAGTCTGCTTCCAGATGAGTTGAAATGTCCGAAACTTACTTTCTTTCATTTCTCCGAAAAGAGTTCTTCTCTAGCAAGTCCACCAAACTTGTTTAGGGATAAGGAAGGACTCAAAGTCTTGAGTTTGTCGAAAATAAAGTTTTTGCCAATCCCTTCCTCATCAATTTCCCTCCCAAAAAACCTTTGTACCTTGTGTCTGGATCAAGTTAAATTAGGAGCGATAAATATAGGCACAATAGTGGGAGAGCTGGAGAATTTGCAAGTCCTCAGTCTTGCAGGATCTGATCTCGGAGAGTTGCCAATGCAAATGGGGCAGCTAACCAAGCTGAAGTTGTTAGATTTGAGTGATTGTACCGAACTCAAAGTAATTCCACCAGGTGTCTTGTCAAATTTGTCAGGATTAGAAGAACTATATATGAGAAACAGCTTTGTTCAATGGGCGGAGGGCATTGAGGAGCATGAAAATCAAAATGCTAGCCTAGCAGAGTTGGAGCCTTTAGAATTGTTGACTACTATGGAGGTACATGTTATTTGCAATATTCAGAAGATTCCAGAAGGCTTGTTCTCTGAAAATTTGGCAAGATTCAAAGTTTTCTTGGGAGGTAGGTGGAACCACTGGAATAGTTCTTGGGGAAGTCCAAAATTACTGAAGCTAAAGCTAGATGCAGGAATTAGTTCTTGCCACTCAATTAGGAAGTTGCTAAAGAAGACAAATGAACTACATCTAGAAGGATTGATTGGTGTTAAAAATGTAGTCAATGAGTTAGATGAGGAAGGTTTCCAAGAATTGAAGTATCTCTGTGTCCAAGATGGTTTGGAGATTCAACACATCGTCTCAGTGGAGCATGCATTTCCTGTATTGGAGGTAATATTTCTTCGCAATTTGGAAAATATGGAGAAGATATGTCATGGCCCGCTAGGAGCAGGTTCTTTTAGAAAATTGAGGTTGATAACTATTGAATGTTGTAACAAGTTGAAGAATTTGTTCTCCGCCTCTATAGCCAGACAGCTTCAGCAACTACAAGAAATTAGAGTGAAACACTGCAGTGACATGGAAGAGACTATTGATGACAAAGAGCAAGAGAGTGGGAATAGTCCTGAAGAACGTGAAGGACATATTGTGGAATTAATTACTCTGCGATCCTTGAAGTTACAACGTTTACCAAAGCTGATTAGCTTCAACAGTAGTTACCGGAAGATGACTTTTTTCAATAAAAAGGTATTAAAATTTTTTTTTTCCCATTTTTGTACTTTCCAAAGCTACCACCTACATTTCTATCTATTTTTCTATTCATAGTAGAGTATTATGGTGAGTTGGGGTTAGATTAATAGAAGAATAATATACGGTTGAATTGTTTACTTTCCATTGAGTAGAGTATTTATATAATAGTTTATCAGATAGAAAATTATACAGTAACTAAACTTCATGAAAATGCAAGGAACAATTAACAAATTTGTTAAATAAATTTAATTTATCAAAAATAAAAACCAAAAAGTGCATTTAATAAGTGTATTTCAGCATAATATCTTTGATAAAGAAGATAATATGAAGATAAATAAGATATGACAATGATATATTTAAATGATGTGCCATTCTAAATTTAAAATCATTACGTGTTATCATATAAATGATTCTTTTTATTTAATATTTCATGAGTGATATTATATATTTTTTCTCATTTAATTTATAAATTTACAATTTTATATATGTGATATTGTAACTATATTATTATCGCATAGATAAGATAATCCTTGTTCTCTTTTATAAACAAAATGATAAGCCTTTACATCGTAAAAAGAACTACTTGTTGTTGTGCAAGTTGTATTTTCAAATATAGAGGAATTGCAATTGTTCTCAATTAAGATTGATAATACCATATGGGACAATGTAATGACATCTTGTATTGAGAAACTGACAAAGTTGATCATTCATGACTGTAACAATTTGGAATACCTATTCTCATCTTCTATAGCAACAAGATTATTGAAGCTTAGACACTTGCAAGTAAAGAAATGCCGAAGGATGAAACAGATTATTGTGGCTAATAATTATGAAGAAAAAGAAATTTTAATTTTTCTTCAATTGAGTTTTCTGGTGATAGAAGACCTTCAAAAGCTTGTCAGCTTCTACGCAAGAAATTATACTGTGAAATTCTCATCCTTAAAACAATTACGAATATTGAACTGCATAAATTTTGGGAGATTCATTAAATATTTTGCAAGTACATATGTCACATATGACACATCATCATCCTTGGGGAAAAGGTAATTATTTCTTCAATTCAATTGCATTTTACCTTTAATTTTAGGAGCTATAATTGTTCTAATCCTTTTGCTCTTATTGTCATGATGTGTAGGCTATTTTCCCCAACTTTACTAGCATCCACTTAGAAAAACTTAGTACCAGTTAATTTTAGCAATTGTTATTATATATAATAATTTAGTCATATTTTTATTTTTATTTCTAAATTACTATATAACAAAACCACATGTATAGATTTCTTTATTTTGCAAATTAAATTAAAAAAAAACATTTTCATTAATATTTATTTTCCCAATCAAGACAGAACCTCAGCTAATGAAACTACTATACAATTTCACATAAAAATTAAATATATTTAATTAATTAAAAATAAAAATAAAAAACTTTATTAAAAACTTTAAAACAAACAAGATGATTAAGATGAAATATTAAACTAAAAATCGGGGAATAACCCTCCCCGATTCGAGTCTAAACCTCCATTGTAATGCCTCAAACCCTTTTTTTTTTTTAAACATATTTACAAGGGTCAGATCCGAACCATTGTTTGGAGAAGGGGAAATGCACTTCAACGTCTTAATTACCACCAAAAGTCCCCTAAGGACACATTTTGACTTGTATGGTGAAGCCCAAGATGTACATGATAATCCTTTTTCTTATTTATAGACAAAATGATAAATTTTTGTAATAAAAAGAATTATATCCTGTGCAGGTTGTGTTTTCATCAAACCTAGAAGAGTTGCAATTGTGCTCGATTGAGCGTATTAGCACCATATGGCACAATTCGATGATATCTTGTTTTGAGAAACTGAAGATATTAATTATTCATGACTGTAAAGATCTGCAATACCTACTCTCATCTTCGGTTGAATCGGATTCAGAAGGGATGATCCAACTTCTCCTTCCAAAACTAAAGAGGTTAGAATTGGGAGATTTGCCCCTGTTGAAGAGCATCTGTAGGCAGAGGGCAGCAATGGTATGTGATTCTCTTGAATTGATTATAATTTGGAATTGCTATAGCCTAAGAAGGTTCCCTCTTTATCTTCCCCAAGTTGAAAATGGACAACCATCTCCTCCTCCTTCCCTCAAACAAATCATAGTATGGCCACATGAATGCTGGAAATCTTTAGAGTGGGACCATCCTAATGCAGAGCGTGTCCTTCTACAATTCTGTGGAAGATATCATTCGTTTCCTTTCAAATTAGGAGAAGGGCGTATTAAAAGATTAGAGTTGACCGATATTGATGTAGAGAATACTTGGGTGCCACCATCCGTACAAGAATTAGTTCTTAATGGATGCAACTACTTAAGAAGCTTAAATGATATCTCTTCCACTAAAGATGCAGAAGAATTGAAGTGCTATAGGATTTGGGACTGCAATGGCGTGAAGTGTGTTTTTTCCTCTTCCATAAATCTACTGGCCCAAAAGCTTGAGGCTCTGGATCTTTTTAGTTTGGAAAACTTGGAAGCCCTTTTTGAAGCAGAGGCAATTACCAAGTCACCACTACCACCTGACACTTTTTCATCTCTTAAAACCATAAGTGTTCGGTACTGTCATAAAATAAAGACGTTGTTCCCCTTTGGGATGAATCTCCAGAGTCTAGAAGAAATTCGCATTGGAGATTGCCTTCAGATGGAAGAAATAATAGTATGGGATGCAGAAGAAGGAGGAGGAGAAAAAGAAGGGGTCATCCAACTCATTCTTCCAAAATTAAAAAGTTTGGAATTGAAAGACATGCCTGCATTGAAAAGCATCTGTGGCAGGAGGGCAGTAATGGTATGTGATTCTCTTGTAGAGATTTGGATCGACAACTGCGAGAGTCTAAGGAGGATCCCTCTTTATCTTCCCCTGCTTGATAACGGACAACCATCTCCTCCTCCTTCCCTCCAACAATTCAATGTATGGCCACAAGCATGGGGGGGATATTGGTTGGAATCGTTGGAGTGGGACCATCCCAATGCAAGGGCTGTCCTTCTACGCTTCCGTAAATTCACTCCGATTCCGGGGAGGTTCGAAATGTCTTTAAATCAACGAAGAAGATGAGGAAGAAATCACTTCACTCTGCAATAGTCATCTTCACCATGTCTCCTCTAATCAATGTGGAAAAGGTTCGTCTTCGCTTGGTCTAGTTTTATTTCTAGACTAGAAATTGTTAATTCATGAACTGCAAGATGAGATAGAAAGGAACATGGACGAAATGTGGATTAAGTAACTGACTTCTTTTTGTTGAAACAGGAAGCTGAGATATCCGCCTCTATCTCTTCATGGGCATCAAGGAATTTGGATACTTCTCGAAGGAGGGGTTCCGCAATTCTCAATTTGTAGTGCATTGTGAATTGTATCATTTTCTGTAACTGGTAAGAGTTCCCGCTGCCAATATTTTGTTTTGGGTTTTCAATCATTAATGTTTTGAATCAATCCAATTGATAATTACACAACTTCCTCAAGGTTTTGCTATTAAAGATGCCATGGATCTGAATTGCAAAAATATCAAAATGATTTATTTATCTTTTAGTTGAATATTGGGTCCCAGTTGCTGTTAAAATGGTCTATTTAATTTGGTCTTTTGGGTTTTGGAATTTTTTTTAACTCAATTGTATTGGCATTTTGTGTGTTGGATTTGGAATTAAGATACAATTCCAATGGAAGTTTGTGTTTCTTGTAGATGTCAGATTAGTAATCCTATGTATAGGAATTTTGGGGTGAAATGCAGTTGATTGATTTAATAACTTGTATCGTTGTTAGTGAAAATAAAAAGAAAAAGAAAGGGGGAAAAACTAGGACACAATATCATATATGGCGCAAAAAGTAACTTACTGTGTTTTGTCTGCCTGATCATGACAAGCCCTGGCATAAGTTCTGGTATAGTGGGGATTGGAGATGATAAATTTCCATTTTCAAGTGTTTGTGGTTGCAGAACACCATTGTCTTTTTGGTTAATTCTTCCTATTTGTAATCTTTTTTCTTTTCTTTTTGCAATGCAGTTTGGCACCCAAGATGTAGTCGTATTAAAACCAAACCTGGCCGATTCAGGAGCTCTTGGACGAGGTGTAGTTTACTGGCTAAAGGTAATTGTGGGTTTTAAAAGACATTTGGTTTACTCAGTTCATTTCGTTCTTTCTAGTTATGTGTGATTCCCCTGAACTCTTCTGCTGCTGATTTCATGTGAATGTTGAACAGGATTCCTTAGTCACTGTTGCTTTTGATAACATCCCAAAAGAAGATTTAAACAGTCCCTTCCCTCTAGAAAATGTGTCAAACTAGGTCTACTATTAAAATTCTTCAATAGCTTCTCTGGTTCTCATAGTGGCTTTAATTGTTATACACATATCTTCGCAAGCCTGAATGTATTGGAACTAGTATAGAATTCTCAGTACCACACTTTCTTCCTTGATATTGGTTCTGTAGTCAATTTCATTACCATGTTTTACATATTTACTAATTTATTTAAGCTTATAAGAATAAAAAAATTCAAATTAATTTGTTGATGCAGGTGACATATCGTAGGATGAAGGATGCCTTGATACAATTGAGCAAAGGTGTGCTAAAGGGACCTGCTGCCAATATAGTTCCTGTC